TTACAATGTCAACATTAATGTACAAATGGCATATTCCCAAATTTATAGCCCTTGGTTTCTGCTTTCGAATGAACTTCTTGAAAAGATTGAAACTACCTAAGAAGAAGATAAATAATAATTTTGTGATATACTATTCGGAATTCGAATGCTCACACGTCTTTTCATTTCAAGGTGGGCGTCGTTACATTGATGATACCTTCCCTTAAAAGATTTTAGAGATGATAAGCTGTATTTTGCAGATCATCCTGGAGCAGTGCTCATGAGTCCATCTCGAGTAAGATGGCATCCCCAATTTCTCTCTCCCCTTTGCTATTCTGGGGTCTCTGTAAGTTTCAACCATGTGTCATTTCCTTCAAGGGAGAAGAACTCAAGAAACTACATCGAGTGTAGTTCAAAAACACAGCAGGTTACTGCAACCTCTTTATTGGTTCTCATGATGGCTATGTATTTGTGCAGAATGTGAAGGCCGTATTCGATGCAGCAATTAAGGTAGTCCTCCAGCCACCGAAGCAAGAGAGGAAGACGAAAAAAGGACGAAAGGCCTGCTCCATTTTGTAATACTGGAAACCAGCTTGTCAAAATAGAAAATGACCAATCTTCTCCAAGGAGAGGCAAGTCTTGGTCAAATGGCCTCCACTGACTAGGTTATATTGTCATGGCTTGTTCAATAAGGCGAAGTTTATAGCATCGCATATGCTTGGGATCGGAAACACGCTTAATTTCTGTTCATGGTATGCAATTTCTTGCACAACGTTCCTCGATAACACGCTTTATTTGCTTTTGGTGTGACGTGTTTTGAGTTTTTGTCATACAAGAATGGCAAAGACAGCTTTGTTTTTGCTATATTTCTTTATTTTCAATTAATTGATTTACCCAGTGGGTACGCGTCACGATAATTTTTAACTCAGATCATAACCAATAATTTTTATTTAAGTCATATTAATAGGCCTATTCGAGTCATAAACTCACCCAAAGTCATTTCATAACATGTCCGTACAGATTCAAAAGAAATTTCAATGCACCCGATGCCATTAAAAGAATATTATCACGTGTAATAGCATCAATAAAAACAACAAGATCCTTGATACGAGAGCCACCGAAAGGAATGGAGTCTGCTGCCCTGTTCTAGATGAAAAATATCCACTTGCATACTTGAACCATTTCATTATATCTTCATATGCTAACATATACCATCTGCAATTAGATACCGGTGGATCATCATCTTACTATGGCCTCTGAAGAAGCATTATAGAGGCCTCATCCGCAGTGCAGTAGCAGATGCTGCTATATAGATGGTCATACCAACCACCATACCTTTCAAGCAGATCTAAACCATCCTCTGACAGCAATGAACCACGCTTTGTGCAAACTCAAAATGGGAACACGTAAGGCAATGCACAAATATCGGCATCAGGCAAGTATCTTGATTGAGGCCACAATGCCAAGCTGTTAGAACAGGATATAGCATCTGCGCTGGATCTGATTCTTTTTACTGCACACACATCTTTATCCTTTCTCTGGAAGAGCCATTCTTGATCATCAAGATCATTCGCCAAAGTATGGAGATCGGGAGGAACCCAATTCTCGACTAAGTTCTTATACTGTAATTCCAGTCTCTGCATTGGAGTCAATGCTGCACTAGCCCCAAATGAAGATCCCAGTTTGACATGAGCAGCAGCCTCCGTCTGCCTAGAAGCTGAAAAAACCAGCTCTTTGTCAGTTCCAGCTGGAACTCCTCGAACAAGGTTATGCGTTCCCTGTGAAGTGGAGCAAACTGTTCCTCGGCTAGCTCTGACAGCAATTTCATCCTTCCGTTGCACAGGAATATCCATCCTTCCAGATGTAGAGCAAAGCTGTGGCTTATTGAACGAAGCATCAGGTTCATTCTTCTTCCTTGAAGGCAATCGGATCTTGATAATGTTACCTGTTCCTCGACCATAACGACTAAGATAAGGACCAGAGGAAGCTCAAAATATACGTCCCTCCTGGAAAAAGAAAAGATAAATTTTGTCAAAGGGGAAAACCTTACCAAGACTGTTGCTGCCACCTATGGACGAGGTACGCCTCTTCCTCTTGTTGCTGTTCTCCGTGCTCTCAGACGAAGAGCTGGGAATGCGAGAACAGACAGGTTGCTCAAGCTCTTCAGTGAGACTGCTCTTTTCCAACTGTTCAATTTCAGCTTTTTTCCCCTTGTGGAGAAGCCCACCTCTTGAATCCATCCAAATGTTTTCCCCAACACAAGCATTGTCGACATTATGAGACTTACCACGAGAGTTCTCATTTGTCTTCCCCTTCTTCTCTTTCCTTTTTTCTTTTTTCTCCCTTCTCTTTTCCTTCTTCCTTTCTTCGTTTGACTTCTCCCTCTCCTTTTGGAGCTTTAAAGCACCAGAATAACAACTTTAGTATTGAGGACCATCAATGCATATATCTAACGAATCCGGGATATGAAACAGAGACCTAAGCACGATACATTTTGCAATTTAAAGTAATGTTTTTGAAGCTTCAGACTCATATGCCATACATCCTCACAACAGACGAGAATCTAGGACGAACATCGGTCTTCCCACAACTCAACACAAATATACCCTATTGAACATGGGGTTCCAAGACAAAGTTATAGAGAATGAATCTAGCATTTATCATAATTTGAAAAAGAACGATTAAGGACAACTTCCTAAAGTTTCTGGGAGTTTATAAAACCTCTATCTAAAGCAGTAATGTGCCATAAAAAATTATAAATGAACTGGGTTCCATTAAAAAATAATAATAATAAAAAGTAAAAAAAGAAGCTTCCTATGACTCATCAAATCAAAATTTAAACCCAAAAAAAAAAAAAGAGACAAGTGCACAATCTCATAGTCTTGATAAAACACAAAATATATCCAAAGCAAACAGTTTTTAAATTCAAAAGAACAATAATGGATAAAAAAAATAGATTTGAAAGCAGTGATAAAAGGAATTCTTTTTTTTTTTTTTTTTTTTTCCCCTTCGGAAAACCGAAGTTCCTGTATAGAGAAGATAAAGAAAAAGAGGACAAAAAATTGATAAACGGATAGACCTTGACGAGAAAAAGGCTGATTAAGCCACCATCAAAAAACAAAATCCATAAAAAAAAAAAAAAATGAAACAGTCTGCTTAGTGAAAGAAATTTCTCAAAAAATGAAAAGTGCATTGACCAATTTTTGCATTTACATCATCTTGTAGTAATAAAGACCTTACAAGGGTTCAAACACTAACAAACCCGTCAAACCTACAAAATAAAACTCAACGTGCAATTATTTGTTCGATAAATATTCTACTACATAAGAAAATACATTCCAGATAAATTACCCATACAAACAAGGAACCAGCATTCACCAATCCACGATCTCATTAGTATAGTCCATATCTAAAAAGTACGTCCAACTTCCCACACCTGATCATAACAGTTCCTAACCACACACCAAATCTCTTTTGGCCTTGAACCAAATGCCAGACAAATACCGAATCAATCTTAAAGTAACTTCATGTCAATTCAAGTGGTCAAGAAATTTCTTTCTTTGAGTAATTTTATTTACACCAGACAGCCTAATTTTTTATTGCTAATCAGATAATCAAGCCTTTATTAATTTAAATTCCACCTATTCCACTCCTCAATATCTTCCACAGAGTGTAAGCAAGAAAAACACCACTCTGAACCAGCACTTCTTGGAACCAAAAAACTCTTGCTCTTGAGCAATAAGATCCTCACTTACCAATATCCAACAAAAGTAAAATTTGATAATCACCTTACTAACCAACCGTTCACAAACTAAATATTTCAACTTCATCATTTTCAAAAGGGCTTTCAAAATTCAATTCCTAACCACACAACAAATATCTTTATCACAAATAAACCTTAAAATGCCAGATAAATACTGAATCAATCTTAAGTTTCTTCATGACATTTCAATTGCTCAAAGAGCTTTCTCTATAAAGCAATTTTATTTACACACACCAAAATTTTTATTACTAACCAGTTAAAAAAGCCTTTGTTAATTCAAATTCCACGTGTTCCAATATTACTCAATATCTTTCACAGAGTGTAAGCAGGGATCTCACCAGTCTAATTCAACATACAGCATTTCTTGGAACTAAATATTCTTACTCCCAGAGCAATAAGACCTTAACCAATCAACGTCTAACACAAACAAGATGGGATAATCACCTTAATACCCAATTGTTCACAAACAAATTATTACAACCTTTCTATTTTCATAATGGTTGATCAATCCATATGCTGAAAATTCTTTACAACATCCATTGATATCAGCTAGAAAAACCATATCAACTTCAGAACCACCCAAATGTGTATCCATCAACATAGGCTACAAAAACCACATCAATTATAATCAAGAAATAATAAATATGAAAATCAGGTTTGGCTTTGGGATTCATTTTATGCATCGAAAAAATCATATAAAAGAGCATTAACTACAAAATCCCAATTCATGATGCATACAGATTTAGAATTTGACTTCTACGAAACCCAATTATTAGAATTAATACTAAATTGTACACCTAAACAAGCGCAGCCCGATACTATTTGTTGGTATTTACATGTCGAAGTCATACTTAAAGAAACCCACAAAATTACACCGGCGAGAACCATGCTCATACATAAACCCATTCAAATCAATCGACGTTCAGTGTTTGTCAAACAAACCTTAATCGATTCGATCAAGGCCTCATTCCCGGCTCTGCTCAGTGAATACCCTGGTGGTGGGTAAGGAAAGCAGCGAGACATATTTTCAAGATCGAATCGAAGATTTCCCGAAAAAAGGACAAGGAATCAAGTAATTGATGACTAAATACCGGGTATGTGTTAAAGATCTACAAAACAAGCGCGAATCAATGATTTATACAATGAATTTCCGTAGATTTTTCAGAAGCCTAGGGTTAGGGTTTCGTCGACCCAAACTTGAACTATCGAACGCGTAAACAATAAAGCAATTTGGCGAGGCGTCGCCTTGAGGGGTAACTGGGTATATATAGAAGGGATATGACCGACTTTAACGTGCTGTACTTTGACCTAATTACCCTTTGGCTCTATTCTATGTATCAAGTCTTTCCTTATTGCTTTATTGGAACAAATTAAGCATTGGTCCCCAACTTATCAACATGTTGCAGTGTATGTCTATCCTTTTCTCCTCTTTTTATTATCCCAATATAATTCCAAATTTACGTGTGTTAGTAAGTAATAAGTGTGTGCACACTTATTTATATCACAAACATGACTTAATTATGAACAAAATATTTGAATTGTGGCTTAATCTCGTTGAATTGTGAAATTTAGGAGAAAAGAGTCGAAAAATGACAAAATGGAGCAAAGTGATAGTTCAGGGACTAAGGATGCAAATATTCAAAAGTTGAACTCAAAGGCAACCTAAAAATGCAAATATGCTAAGTATGAACTCGAAAGCGATATAAGATGATTGGAAGAAGAAGGAATTGCAAAGGGACTAAAATGAAGAAAAACGAAAGTTCAATGACCAAAATAGACATTTTGCATAGTTGGCAGCACTATGCGACAGCATAGTGCTACCCTCTATGCGTTCGCATAGAGGCCTCTCGAGAATTTTTTCTCAATTTCTTTTTTACTCTATGCGACCGCATAGAAATGTACTATCTGGTCGCATAGAACAAGTTCTGGGGTCGATTCTGCAGTTTCTTTATACGACTGAAACTTTTTTGGTAACCTAATTTTCACGCGATATAAATACCAAAAGACGTCCAGAAAGAAGCAGAACATATTGGAGGCAGAAAAATACTTCTTGGAGAGGATTTTGAGCGCAAGAATGAAAATTCACATGAAAAGCTTCAAGATTTTTCAAGATTTCGTAACCCGATGATGCCTTTTATCCAAAATCTGATGTATTCTTTTATTTTAACCATGTTAGGCCAGAGTTTCATGTGCTAGGAGATTAATGTACCATGTAATTTAATCTTTAATTTTCTAGTGTTGCAATTTGATATTAAGACACATCTCTATTGTTTTGAATGATTTATATGCAATTATTGTTTCCGTAATTAAGGGCCCGTAATTGTGTGAGTTTGGGTGATTTATTCTTGCATTCGAGAGAATTGGAATATGTTCGACATAATATAAATCACCGTAGGGTCCGATAGGGGATAAAAATATACCGCTATGCCCTACGTGAATCTTTAAGTGTTCATAAAACTGCATGCATTTTTATATATGCACTTGTCATAGAAATATAGGCCGATGGTATGTAGAAATAGATTCGATACATCTCAAGAGAGAGTATTGGATAGACTTAGGAACATTGATTCATTACAAATGAAGTGTGTTTTCACATTGTGAAATTAGGGTTTTAAAGTGATAATGGCATGGAAAATCGTGATCCTAGTGTGTTTAATTTCTATTGATTACAACAAATGTGCGTTCTCAACATGCGATTTCATTTTAGAGTGTTAAAAATATTGTTTTGCATATTTAATTTAATTCAATCATAAAAATTGCATAATTAGAGTTTTCTTTCCAAAATTAGGGTTTTAAATAGGTTCACATTCACTTTAGTAATTTTGTGTCGGTTAAGGCGACGATAGGTAAAATTGAACTAATCAATCTCTATGGGACGTTATTCGGACTCATTTAATCCACTTTATTACTTGTTAACGAACCGTACACTTGCGGTAGTTTTAAATCGAAAGAAATAATTTCGTGAACAAGTTTTTGGCGCCGTTGCCGGAGATTGAGTTTAGTTTAATTTTATTTCTCGAGGCACTAATCCGAACTTCAATTTTTATTTTACTAGTATAATTTTGTTTTTATTTTTATTTTAGGTTATTATTCTTTATTTGTATTTTAGTTATTTAAATTGTTTGAATCTCAGTGCTCGTACTGGTTTTGTTTCTCAGATTTGCATGCCACGATCGACTGGAAGATAATTGATTCCAGTTGATCCTGAAATCGAGCGCACCTTTCATCGACTACAAAGAGATCACCGAGAAGTACAAGTACAAATGGTTAACGAACTAAACAATCCCATTATTCAAGCTAATGAAGGAGAGGTAATGGACGAAGGAAATGAGATTCTGGGAGATTTATTGACTCCTCAAGTAATTCAAAGTCAATTTAGAATAGTGTATCCACCGTTTGGGCAGCCAAATTTCCAGTTGAAGACCAATGTGATACAACTATTTCAAAATGGACACCAGTTTTATGGCAAAGCCAAGGAGAATCCACATACACACTATCTCGATTTTTGGATATGTGTCAACATTTCAGATACCAAGGGATTTCGAACGGCGCTATTAGGCTAAGGCTGTTTCCACATACGCTACGAGACAGAGCACTTGAATGGTTGGATTCACTTCCAGTTGCAAGTATCACTACATGGAACGAGTTGGCACACAAATTCTGCACAAAAATTTTTCTCCCTAGCCAAGATAGCGAAATTGAGACATGACATATCAGTATTCAGTCAAGGAGAAACCGAATCATTTGATGAAGCTTGGAACATATTCAAAAACATTCTCCAGAAGTGCCCTCAACATGGGTTTGATAAAATGACCCAATCCGATTCTTCTACACAGGGTTACTTCCATACCACAAGAGCATGGTGGATTCAGCGTCAGATGACTCAATATCCACACGAACAGTTGATGATTTGAGAGAATGGCTGCCACATCAGCCACGTGGTCTTTTGAGAGGGTGATTCCAAGGAAAACTCCAGGTGTCTACGCGGTGGATACTTATTCAGCAATATCTGCAAAAATTGACTCACTTTATCACAAGGTGTAAAGCATATCACAAGCAGCACAAGCTAAGAAGAGTAATTGCGATGAATGTGAAGCTGAGCATAAAACATCGGAATGCCCAATACTCATGCAAGGAATTGAGCAAACAGACTATGCACGGTGGGGACAACGCCAACAACACAATCAATATGGAGAAACTTTCAATCCCAGTTGGAAGAAGCATCCCAACTTCTCTTGGAGCAACCAGAATCAAAATAGGCCACAGGGTCAATTTCAACAATAAGAGAAGAGGCCTCAATTGGAAGATATGATAGGAAAATTCATGGAGAAAGTCGAAACTACACTTCAAAATCAAAATGCAGCCATCAAAAATTTGAAAACTCGGATGGGACAGTTGGCGATCGAATTGACTGGCAGAACGCTAGGTAACTTGCTGAGTAACACAGAAATCAATTCCAAAGAGCAAGCCAAGGCCATTACAACTCGAAGTGGAGTACAATTGCCTAAAATCCATGTCAAGAGACTGGGTGTGATTGGAGAGACATCTTCCCCTACTGAAGAAGAGACTGTTGTAAAGGAATCAACTCTAAAGGAAAATTCAGAAAAGTCACAGGATAAGGCCAAAATCACAGTCAATCCATACAAGCTTCCGATTCCCTTTCCACAGCGGTTGAAGAAATAAAAATTTGAGCAACAGTACAAAAAATTCCTAGAAGTCTTCGAAAAACTCCATATCAACATCCCACTAGCCGATGCACTATTCTAGATTCCTAGCTACGCGAAGTTTCTCAAAGATATTATATCAAACAAACGCAAGTTGAATGACCATGAGACAGAAATGCTTACGGAGAAATGCAGTGCCAGAATCCAGAAAAAGCTCCCACAAAAACTGAAAGATCCATGGAGTTTTATTGTTCCTTGCACTATTGGTGAAGTCTATTTCGATAAAGCATTATGTGACCTCAGTGCAAGTATTAATTTAATGCCTCTGTCTATTTTTAGGAAACTCGGCTTGGGAGAAACTAAAGCGACTACTATGACACTTCAGTTGGCGGACAGGTCACTGACACATCCCAGAGGGATAATTAAATATGTGTTTATCAAGGTTGAAAAGTTCATATTCCCAGCGAATTTTCTTATCTTTGACATGGAAGAAGACAATGATGTCTCATTGATACTTGGCAGACCATTTCTAGTAACAGAAAGAGCGTTAATTGATGTTCAAAGGGGGCAGTTGATCTTAAGATTGAGAGAGGAGCAGATATCGTTCAATGTATTCAAGGCCATGAAACTGCCAGCAGAATCAGATAGCTGTTACCAAGTTAACATCATTACAAGGCAGTACAAGAAACATTCTTACTTCACGGCCCATCTGATGCCTATGAGGCATGCATTGCACAATCCCAACCAGTTCAGTCAGATTCTCTTAAAGTTGAAACATGTGCGAGGATTTTGGAGACCAACCCACCATACACCCGAAAGAGGCACTTCGAGGAACTGGAGACGGGAAATACAAAGCCACTGCCTTCCATTCAGCAATCGCCAGTTTTAGAACTTAAGCAACTACCGCCACATCTCAGATATGCATATTTGGGGGAGTCAGATACACTTCCTGTAATCATTTCGAACACAGTCAATGAGGTGGAGGAAGAAAAATTGCTCAGGATACTCAGAGAGAACAAGACGGTGATTAGGTGGACAATAACTGACATTAAAGGAATCAACCCTTCTCTGTGTATGTATAAAATTCTAATGGAAGAAAATTGCAAGCCTAGTATAGAGGGTCAGAGAAGATTGAATCCGAACATGAAGGAAGTAGTCAAGGTAGAGATACTGAAATTACTGGATGCAGGAATTATCTACCCAATTTCAGATAGTGCATGGATCAGTCCAGTTCAAGTGGTGCCGAAAAAGGGGAATCACAGTGGTAAAAAATGATAAGAATGAATTAATTCCCACCAGAACAGTTACGAGATGGAGAGATTGCATCGATTATTGCAAACTTAATGCAGCTACACGAAAGGATCACTTCTCACTCCCATTCATTGATTAGATGTTGGAGAGGTTGGCTGGACATTCACACTACTGCTTCCTTGATAGACACTCGGACTACAATCAGATACCTGTCGCACCAGATGATCAGGAGAAGACCCCTTTCATTTTCCCCTACGGTACTTTTGCTTATCGTAGGATGCCTTTTAGTCTTTGCAACGCTCCAGCCATATTTCAGAGGTG